TGTGCGGGGAGAAGGGTGCAACAATGAATGAATGGAATCCCAAAATCTCTGTAGATGTTCATTGAAATGAAAAATAAACAACCTAAATTTAAAAAAAAAAAAAAAAAAAGAAACGTAGTCTCTGGGATAGCAGGGCAAGCTTCTATATAATACACCAACAAAGCTCCCTAATAGTTAGTACAGATTCATTTATTCTGATGCTATAGTTGTTGATTACCTTCGAGTTGAGCACGACTCATAGCAACCCTATAACAAAAGGCCTGAGCCTTTCTATAACTATCGACATTTATCAAAGTTCATAGAGTGTCCAGAGGCATGTTGTATAGAAAAAGGATGCCACTCCTGCTTCCAAGATGCTATACAAACCTTGTCTAAAAATAGGGTCACTATGAGTTGGAATCAATGTGATAACACAGAAGATTCCAATAAAGTAAACAATTAACTTGGACTCAAAAAGGAATTAACAGATTATTCTGTTATTTGATTTTGTTAGCAAAATGCATCTTAGGTGACTTTATCACTATAAAGAAGTTTTCATTAAGATATCTATTATCAGATTTAGAATCTTCAAAAAATGTTATCTTAAATATTATTACATGAGATTTTGGTAAATAATTTTATACAGAAAGAAATTATTCATTAAGCTTACAAAGAAAAGGGAAATGTAAGAGGATTCTTGACTTCTGGAACCAGACTACTGGTACTTAGGGTTTAATAATATAAATGATAAAAAAAGTTAAACACTACTATTAGTGACAGTGTTTGAGGGTTAACATTCTGTCCTGTTTTTAATTAGCCACTTTCATTATTTGTTTGTATATATTTTTCTCAAGAGACAAACACCCTACTCTAACCATAACAATTGTTGATTGTGTGCACCATAGAGTCAGAACCGACCCATAGCTGACCCTCTCTCAGGTTTTCAGAGGTAGTTAATTGCACAGCAGGAGACTGCCCATCCTCCCGCAGAACAGCTGGTAGCCTCGAACTACTTGCCTCTGGGATTGCAGCTCAGCTTCTCACCACTAGGCCATCAGAAAAAACTATTTTCTCATGCTAGACCATGTTTTTATTGATAAAACCACAGTAACTCTTGACATAAGACTAAAGTAGAATAGCATGTACCTTTAATACTTACTTCAATGTACATGGGTAGCAAGACGGCTTATAATTGACTACTGACCTAAACCTGGCAGTTTAAGACAAACAATGGTACCACAGAAAACTGGTTATTTTTTCTCAAGATTATAGCCAATAAAATCTTATGAAACCTTTAATAAATAACCTCTTAAATAATCTTTAACATTGGTTTACCACAAGTTGATGGCAATGGGCTTGATTTAAATTTACCATATGGAATTCAGTCTTTCTACTCAGCTGCCCAGTCTGTTTACTATTTACACTAAAAAGACTAAGAAACAAAACAAAACAAAAAAAAAGATTAAGAAACTTCTCCCAAAATTCCTTAAGAATTCAATGTCTTTGAGCTGTGGTGCTGAAGAAGAGTCTTGAATATACGATGAGCCACCAAGAAAACAAATAGATCTGTCTTGGAGAGGATGGAAACAAGTTTTTTTTCTTGGAGGCTAGCTAGGATTTTGAAGCTCTGTCTCACATACTTTGGATCAGTCCGTGGAGAAGGACATCATGATCAGAAGGGTGGAGGGATGGTGCAGGAGAGGAAGATGGATTGATACAGTAATTGGGGAAATGGGGTTAGGTGTGTCGGAGTCAGTGAGACTGGCTCAGGACAGGGCAGACAGAGGACAAGCAGGGTTGCTATACATAGAGTTGTAGGCAACTTGATGGCACATAACAACAACAACAAAAACAAGGTGGATTAAAGAGTAAAAACAGACAAATGAATATAATTTTAGATGACATACCTGCGTCCTCGTACTAGCAATCTTGAAGCCTTTCCTAGTAATTCAACTGCCTGTCGTAAGCGTTCCTCATTCTAAGGAATCAAAGGAAAGGGTAGTGTTGGTTACTTTAAAGAAGACTTTTCTTTATTTAAGGAGAAATTTTCAAAAACAAAGTTCAAGCTATAAGCATTAAAAGTTTGAAAAGCAGCCACCACAGGTCCCTTCTGGATTCCTACATATTTTAAATGTCACACATTTTAAGAACCTAAAGAAAGAAAATAAGACTCAAACTTACTTCAAACACATTAGCCGTCTGTTGATATAACTGTACTGCTTTTTCTGGATCCACATTCTCTATAAGCCTGATTGGAGCAGTAAAATATTATTTACATGAGAAATAAAGGATTTTATGAAAACATGTCACTTTTACTCAGAACATCGTGGTTATAACAGGGGCACACACACTCACTTCCCAGCTCGTTCTAAGGCCATGGCAGCAGTGTCTGGGGTACCATTCTCCAAGTACATCATGCTGGCTTTCTCAATTAGTTGAACTGCCTCTGGTAGTTTCTGCATCTCCTTTTGGAAAAGAAAACAGCATGAAACAGAAAATGTATAATTTAATAAATAGAAATAATCTAAAACCCAGTTGTTTGATCCCTAATTTAGGCACAGAACTGATTTTCACTTTGTTATATAGGTGCCCCGAGGCACAGTGACTCCAGGCACAAAACTGCACCACTCTTGTCATCAGTGGTGCATCCAATGGTGGGAACACATACACGGAATTTTCATATGGCAATAGATTGCCAATTTCTTCCTCATCCATCTTAGTCCGGAAACAGCATGTCCTCATAACAGAGACAACTGAGAGCTGGTAGGTTCTTGGGGGAAACTAAGATAGGCAGTATGGACTCCTTACTTGTTTGGTTACAAAAAAAAGTTTCCACGCTAAGGAACTGCTGCTGATAAATGGCTATACATAAGCAAACGTAAGGTGGCATATAGTGCCTAACACAGCAGGCTATTAACCAAAAGGTTAGGAGTTCAAATCGACCAACTGCTCCTTAAAAGTCTTCTAATAATTTTCAGCCTTGGAAACCCTGGAGAGGGTTACTATGGGTTGGAATCAACTTAATGACACTCAGTTTAAGTTTATAACCATATTATTGCTGCTATTGTTATGCATCATCGAGTTCTCTTCAAACTCACAGTGATCTATACAACTGAACCCTGAATACTGCCCTGTCCAGAGCCAATCTCACTGTCTCAGACACACTCCCATTGCCCCAGTTACCATGACAATTCATCTCATCTGGAGTCTTCCTCTCCTGCTCTGTCACTCCGCCCTTCCAAGCATGATGTCTGTCCAACAACTGGCCCCTCCTGGCCACATGCCCAAAATATGTAAGATGAAATTTCAAAATCCTTGCCTTCAATGAGCAAACTGATTTTACCCTCTCCAGGATAAACCTGCTTGTTCACTTGGCAGTCCATAGTATATTCAATAATCTTCTCTAACACCACAACTCAAAGGCCTCAATTCTTCTGTCATCTTGGTCATTATCCAGCTCTCTGATGCATAGCAAATATAACTGTGAAGACCACGGCCTGTATCAGGAACACCTTAGTTTCCAGACTGACACCACTGTTCTTCAGCACTCTGGCAAGGTCTCTGACAGCAGATTTTCCTGATATATTTCATCTTCTGATTTCCTATTAGTGCCAAGAATGTTGACTATGGACCAGAGGAAGCTTAAATTGTTAACAACCTCAATCTCCTTTCTATCTATCATGATGGTGCCAGTTGGCCCAACGGTGAGAATCTTTGTCTTCTTGACGTTAAGCTTCAAACCATATTGAAGACTACAGTCTTTGACCTTCTGCAGCAAGTGCTTCAGGTCCTCCTCAGTTTCAGCAAGCAAAGTTGTGTCATCTGCATAACACAGATTGTTGATGGGTCTTCTTCCAATACTGATGCCACATTCCTCCTCATAGAGCCCCACCTCCTGGATGATCTGTTCCACACAGAAATTGCAAACGTAAGGAGAAAAGAGATTGCAAAGGTATGGAGATAGAACACATGCCTCTCTTAATTTCAAACCATCAGTATTTCCTTGCTCTATTCTGAAGCTTGCTTCATGGTCTAAGTATAGGTTTCACACAAGCACAATCAAGTGTTCTGGGATTCCCATCTTTCAAAGTTAATCAAAACTGGCTGTGATCCACACAGTCAAATGCCCTTGCATAGTCAGTAAAACACAAACAACATACTTCTGGTACTCTGCATTCAGCCAAAATCCATCTGATTTGTGTGTGAAGTATAACCCTTTGGAGTCAAACAATTCAGTTGTAAAAGTGTTATTTCAATGGGCATTCAACAGTTTATTATAAAGAAAAATCATAATTTAAACATTTTCCTATACTTAAAAACTCAGATAACTGCCATTTTAATTATAAATAATGCAGCGATTATGCATAAATTTTGGCTATCTCTGTTTCTTTGGGATACTGTTATGTGCCATTGAGTCAGAGCCAATTCAAGTCCCAAATGACCCTCCAGTGGGTTTTCAGAGGCTGCAGATCACACAGAAGGAGGCTGCTCATCTGCCTCCCTCAGAGCAGCTGGTGGATTTGCCTTTGTTGGCAGTGTAACTCCTTATCACTAAGTTACCGGAGCTCCCCTTTTTTAGGATAGATTCACAGAACTGGAATTTCTGTATGAAAGATATGAAAATACTTAACATTCTTAAAATAGAAAATATTTTTTTTATTAATGAAACACGAAATAATGACATATAAAGTTAAACGTAAACAGCAAGATTCAAAGCTGTGTATTGAGTATAATCTCAGTTTTGTATATGAATAAGAAAATGTATATGCACAGTAAAGGACTAAAAGGAAAAAAAGTATTATGTCAGTAGCTTTTAACAATTTACACAATATTTCCAGTTATTTTCTAAATATTCTAAAATGATCATGCATTCACTTAAAAATAAGATTACAGAAGTCAAAGAAATTTTAAAAAGTAAGTTTATAAAACAAAGCTTTATAATAATTCAACAGCTTTTAACATATTAAAGAACAAACATGAAAAAGGAAAATTTCCCCTTTCAACTGCCACTTGTCCAGTCTTAAGAGGCCATGTCATAAATAACATTTTCAGCCTCACCACAACTTCCAACATGCTTTAAGAATGACAATTAAAATCAATACAGGCACACTACTCAAAACATTCCATTTATAAAGAATTAGTTAAACTAGCAAAAGTACTTAAATTTTGTTGCTCTCTTCACTGCCAACTGATATTTGTAAAACAAAAATGTCTTCTTTCTACAATCCCTGGACAGTGAAAAATAGATATGAATTATTTTACTACATCATACTAGTCTCAGTTTTCACTATTAAACTCTTAACACTTTTAATTAAAAATTCCTATCTTAAGATACACAACAGTATAATGCACAGTTCCATTAGGTAGTGCTATGAAAGGATTCAAAAGGAAGCTTTCCAAGCTCAATTTAACTTTTGCTCTAACAGTTTATAGTTCATTCATTTTATCTATAGAATGGTTGTGACAAGACAAAATTACTGACCTTCAACATCATGCCAGCTTGTTCATAAGCTCTGCAAAAGAGAATATAATTATTTTGATTAGACTATAATTAAATATGAGGGAGGAGGAACTGTATAGAAAGTTATTTCAGTTAAAATTTTCTCAGGCACAATAGATTAAAATCTGTATTATAATAACTTTCTCTTATTTTTAATTTTTTGTGAGTCCCTAGATATCTGAGTTGAAAGGGAATTTATTTTTCATATGTAAAATTAGATAAGGGCCAAGAAATGTTAAAGGACCTTTTATGAGGTAAACCTGTACTAGTGGCAAGAAGCTGCATTACAATTCCAAAAGCATGTGTTTGGAGCCACCAGCTCCCATGAGATTAACTGACTGCTTCTGAAAACCCACCAGAGGGTCAGCTATGGGTCGGTTCCATCTTGATGGTACACAACCACAACAACAAAATCAACAGCACTCCACAAAAGCTGAAAACAGTATCATGCTTCTCGTCTACCAACACAATTAGTTAACAAGGAAACAAACAAACAAACAAAACCACCAAACCCTGCTGATATGAAGTCAGAATTGACTCACAGCTGAAGCTCTGGTAGGTTTCTGAGAGGAAGTAAACTACACCGGACAGTGTCCACCTTTCTCTCTTGAAGCCACTGGTGGATTTGAAACACCAGAGGTATGACCTTTAGGTTAGCAGCAAAATTCCCTAAGAGTATGCCAATAGTGCTCAATTAGCAAAAAAGAGGGAGACAAAGAGATCTTTTCATTAAAATAATTCAAATGCTATATATTTTAGCTAGGGGAAACTCTGGTTTTACAGTTGAAGTGATAATTAAGCAAAATGTAAATGCTAATTTTATTTAAATCATTACAAAATAATTCAATAATTATACATGTACAACTTGGGGGGAATTTAATGAGCTATAGAAAACAAATATTTAAAACAAATAATCTGCAAATAGATGAAAATATGGAGTGTATTTACTTACTTGGCTGCATGAAAAAGACTTAATTGATGTCACAAAGTTAAAATTAAGGAAAAAAAAGGGGGGGGGAATAAACCAGTCCCAGAAATAGACTGTGTTAACCAAAATAAAGTCCCATTAAATCTAAAAGAGTAACCCTACAAAAAGATGAAGCAAAAATAATTCTTTGCATGTTGTCTCTGACAATTCATTCAAACACTAGCAAAACATCCAAAGATTTTTCTTTTCCCAGTCTTATTATTATCTAGATCTCACAGGCATTTGGGGCACTAAAATACTACTACTAACCTGTTTAGGTCAGGTGCACTTTACTCCTCAGAGTAGTATCTTTTTAAAAAATGTATTTTTCTTTTATATTTGTTTGCATATAAAACTTGTATACACTGTTTAATTCATATACATTGCTTTACACATTCCTTCATTCACATTGCTTCATACAATCATTCTCATACATTGTGTCTTATAAAATTAATCATCACTAATCTATGCCCACTGTTACCCACAGATTTTAAACTATCTCCATTATGCATTAATCTAAAGAGTTTAATCAAAACACAAGGTTATCAGACCTAAAACTTTCAAGTGAGATAAAATAATCAAGATGCTGGCAAAATTTATTGATTTAAACTATGTGTGCATTTTGTTTGAAACACCTACAGAAGACTATGCTTCCAATAAAATTCAGTAGCAGTTTACATACTTATGCTACATCATCAATTGTTATCTAGAGATTTCACATACTTCATTCCAAATAAAATAATTCTCAATACTTAATTGTGCTCATTCATATATATATAGATCAAGAAGCAGTTGTCTAAGCAGAACAGGAACACTGCATGTCTCAAAATCAAGAAAAGTATCCATTGGGCTATATTATGAATGTTAAGCAAATTATTCGAGAAGCTTGACTCTATGAAGAAGAGTGTGGCATTAGAATTTGAGGAAGACTCATCAACAGCTTGCATTATGGAGATGACACAATCCTGTCCAACCTTGCCTACAGAAAATGAAGAGGACTTAAGTAATTGCTATAGAAGATGAAGACTATAGCCTTTACTACGGATTGTATCTCAACATAAAGAAAACAAAAATCCTCCTACTGGGTCAAAAGACACCATCATGACAGATTAAGAATAAAATTGTCAATGAATCCATCTTACTTGGATCTACAAACAATACCCTTAGTACCAGCAGTCAAGATATCAGTAGACGTATTGCACTGGTCAAGTCTGCTGCCAAGGATTTTCCCAAAGTACTAAGGAGCGATCATGACAACTTAAGAGACTGTAGAGTGTATCTGATTTGATTTGAGCCATGGTCTTTTTAATCACTCACTATGCAACTGAGAGAAAACAATCAAGTTCACAACAATTTCATTTTACCAGAATCCACAATCAACACCCATGCTAACATCAGTCAAGATAGCAGAAAATGGCAAAGACAGGGCTGGCTGAATAAATGCAGGCCTCAAAGAAGGCCTCAGGACAAAAAAAAAAATAAAAAATGAAGAAGTCCACTCAAGGACAAGAATTCAAGCATCTTAAAGTTTAGAGAAAATTACTGAGAGTAAAGTCAGAGAGACAAAGCAGAGTAATAGCATAAGTAAGGAGCAAAACCAGAATATAAACCTGGTCCAGGCTGGGCGTGGGACCCACAAAGAGACAAAAAAAAGAGGAACCAATCAGATCTGCCAGATCAGTTGGGAGAAAACAGGGTTGCATCTGTCTAATGCTTTGGTCAAGAGATACCAAAGGATGGAAGAAATAGTCAAACAATTGAAGGGATACACGAGCATAGAACTAGAATAAATTTAAAAATCCACACAAGATGAAAACTGATAAAATCAAAAGGCTATTAAAAAAAAACACCCAGAAAAATACTAACATGTAATCTAGAAGAGTAATACTACCATTCCAGATGTGGGAGGGACAAAGGAGCAGAACTGAAGAAATGGAACCCAGAAGATGCAAAACAAACCAGGCCCTCAACACTGATCTGCTGGAGAAAAAAGTAGAAGCAGGCAAGGAAGGAAAACAAAGAAAGTATAATAATTATGTGGGCTAAATGTCCAAACATAATCAAATGGATTGAGAAATTATGGTGTATTCACACAATGGAATACTACACAGCAAGCAGGAACAATGATTTTGTAAATTATGACCTAACTTGGGAGGGAATGGAGAGAGCATTATGCTGAGTTAACTCCTTCAGTCTCATAAAGATAAATACCATATTGCAGAATAAGTATAAGGAGCCAAGGGAGGGGAGGGTGGAAGCAGACGGGTGAGGTTGTGTGGTAGGGGAGGATTAATTATGTGGTCACACAATTTGATCGGGGAGCTAAGGGAAATGGGAAGGATCTGGTGTGAAAAACAATGTATCCAAATTTCGTAAATAAACTAGTATAAAAAAATAATGTAAAATAGAATTTATGATTGTATAAAACACAATGTAAATGAAAGATTATATAAAACACAACATATATGAAAGAAACATACCATAATGGTATTATTATATGAAAATCTATAAAACAATTTTTTTTAAAAAAATAAGAATTGTGTGGGCTACTAACAAGAGGAATAATATACATGTGATTCGATGCCCAGACCAGAAAGGAGAGAGGGGAAGCATGAGAAAACTGTAGAAGAATTACTGGATATCACAAAAAAAAATCACAAAATATATGCTCAAGAAGCTGAGCAAAACTCGAACAGGACAGACCTGAAAACAAAACAAAACAAAAAAACCCACTAAAACAAATCATAGTCAATTTCTCCAAAATCCATCTTGTTGAGGATATTCCTGTTTAGTTGACCTTCACCTTTCCCAGAATGCTGTACTTTTCCACGGACTGGCCTCTCCTAAAAGAAGGCCCTAAGTATGTGAAACAAGTTTCATTATCCTTGCCTCTAAAGACAATCTTAGCTACATTTTCTCCAAGACATATTTGTCCTTTTGGGAGTCAACAGGATATTCATTAATCTTCTTTGACACCACAACTCAAAAGACATCAATGATTCTTCTTCAACAATCCTTAATTCAGATGGATAGGAAGTAGTTGAAAAGACCTATGGCCTGACTGACATCATTACTCCTCAATAGTTTGGAGAGGTTCCTAACTGCAGTGCATCTCCTTATTTCCTGACTGTAGGTGTCGAGGGTGTTATTGTGGATCCAAACAAGATGAGGTTGTTGACAGTTTCAATCTCCTCTCCATCCATGATGCTGTTGCCTATAGGTCCAGTGGTAAGAACCTTTGTTTTCTTGACACTGAGATGCAATCCTTACTGAAGGCTGCATTCCTTGATCTTCTGCACAAGTGCTTTAAGTCCTCACTTTCAGCAATCAAGGTTGTGCCATCTGCATAACACAGGTTATTGATGAGCCTCCCTCTAAACTTGATGCCACACTCATCTTCATAGAGTCCAGGCTCTCCAATAATTTACTCAGTACACAAACAGAATAGGTATGGAGAGAGAATACTCCCTTCTCAATCCTAAACCATGCAGCATTCCCTTCCTCTGTTCACACAACAGCTTCCTCATCCAGGTACAGGTTTCTCATAAGCACAATTAAGTGCTCTGGAACACCCATTCTTCTCAATGTCTGCCACAACTTGTTATGGTCCACACAGTTAAATGACTTTGCATAGTCAAGAAAGCACAAATAGACATTCTTTTGTTATTTTTTTTTTTCAAAAAATACTGGTTTATATACAAAGTTCATAAAGTTCATATACATTGTTTTTCACACTGGACTTTTTCCCTTCCTTTACCAATCCCTCCCTCCAACCATCAAATTGTGCAACCCTATGTTTTAAGCGCCCCCATCTCCCCTCGGATCCTCGTACACACTCTTCAATTATGGTCCTATACAGTATTTGTCTTTATGAGACTGAGTTCACTTAACATAATGCTCTCTGGGCCCTCTCATGTTAGGTAGTAGTTTACAAAATCATTGTTCCTGTGTGCTGCACAGTATTCCATTGTGTGAATGTACCATAATTTCTCAATCCATTCCATTGTAATTGGGCATTTGGGTTGTTCAGCCAATATCTATCTGACATTAGCAGTGATGTCCCTGGTGCCATAATCTCTTCTAAATCCTGCTTGTACTTCTGGCAATTCTCTATCTATGTAATATTTCAGCAGGTTTTTAATGATCTTCAGCTGTATTTTGCTTGCGTATGATATTAATGATATTGATCAACAGTTTCCACATTCAGTTGGATCAACTTTGTTGGGAATGGAAAAAATTATGGACCTATTCCAATCCATTGGCCAGATAGCTAGCTGTCCTCCAAATTTCCTGGCATAGACTGGTGAGTGCATCCAAGGCTGTATCTGTTAACTGAACCAAGTGGTATTCCATTGATTCTTGGATCTTTACATTTTACCAATGCTTCCAATGCAGCTTCTACTTCGTCCTTCATTACCAATAGCTTCTGTTCATATGATACTTCCTTAAATATTTCAGTGTCAATAAGTTCTTTCTGATATAGTGTTTCTGTGTGCTCCCTCCATCTTCTTTTTATGCTTTCTGGGTCATTCAACATATTGTCCATAGCATCTTTCAATATTGTGACATGAGGCTTAAATTTGTTTTTTTTCTCTCAGCTTGAGAAATGCAGAGCAAGCTCTTCCCTTTTTAATCCTCCAATTCCAACTCTCTGCATATACCATTATAATACTTTCCTTTGTCCTCCCAAACTGGCCATTCAAATCTTCTGTTCAGCCCTTTTACTTTGGCATATTTTCCTTTTGTTTTGGCTTCTCGACATGCCACTGCAATTTTTAGTCTCTTATTTTTTTACTTCTCCTATTTCTGTAATGACCTTTTGCTTTCTTCAAGGATGATATTCTTGCTATCCTCCCACAACTCATCTGGCCTTGATCAATAGTGTTCAATGCCTCAAACCCATTCCTAAGATTATCTTGAAATTCAGATGGATCTGATTCAAGATCCTATCTTGGTTCCTGTGCAGTTATTGTCAAATTGGCTTCAATTTGAACTTGCATATT